TAATAATTTCAAATTAGTTGGCACCCCTAGCCCATCATTTTTATGTTAGGTCATCCTGTTATTAATTATTGTTATTTTAAATACGTTCACAAGCAAGGGGGAAAAAACAAGCGTATACTCTAATTGTTCTTTTCTTAAGTTTTCATATTCTTTCTCATCCCAAAAGTTGGTGAGAGTCTATTTTGCGACGCTTTTATTTCAGGATTTTTGTTTTTTATTTTTTGTTAAAAAAATAATACTTTTTTTATGATTTAAAAAACGAATAAAAAACAAAAATTAGGTTAACATACCAACACTTAATTTTTTTTTCCTAAAACTTCTATATGATTTTAAAAAATGAAAAAGGGAAAGTCAATACTAATTATCAAACGTTTCTAGTTCTAAAAATTTGAAAACAAAATACAAGAGATTGACTACATACCGACACTTAATTTTCAGAATTATTCAATTTTTGGAGGTCGGTTGATTTTTTATTTTTAGGAAAAAAAAAAGAATAAGAACAATCATTTCAATTAAAAAAAAAAAAAAGGAACCGTGTTTTTTGTAATTTGCAGTTCGGTCACATGTCAGCAGGTTCGAGGAAAGAGATTTTGTTAAAATGGCATGGCAACCGTCGGATCACATGTTCGATGGTTCAGATTTCTTCTCGAATGAGATGTGGCAAAAGAAATTAAAGTGAGAAAATGTATAATATAATATTGTGTTATAAAAGTACAGCAAGGACTGTACAGTGTCAGTGATTAGACATTGTAGCAGAGATGGGTATACTTTCTAATTTGCATACAATTAGATTTATAACTAAATGCATAATTGAAAATATCTTGGTAGATCTAATTTCACATTAAAAAAAGCATACAATATATTATTCAATTATATCATTCAGCAATAGATTTGAATTGTAATGGCCACTTGTTTGAATATGCATCTCGGTGGGGTTGAAGATGCTTATTCTTTTTTCCTTCCGCAAACAAATCTGAAAGCTATTTATTTGTTTGATAAGAAATAAAAAAATTCGAACTCATGATTTATGCAAGTGACGATTATCGTTAAGCTAAATTTATGTTCGCAGAAAATATCTCTTTTATTTTTAGATCTCTATTTTTTCTTTTTAGCTGTCAAAATTAAATTAGGTGACATCGGATAAGGAAAGAAATATTATTCTTTTAATTATAAACATTTCAGTAAAAAAATATCTACTACAATTTTAAAAGCGTCTTTCCAAACACTTCCCGCCAAAATACTAATCAAATCTATTATCACAAGCCACTTTTAAAGGGCTCTTGACTTATTCCAAAGTTTTTTCTTTGAAGTCCCAAAAATGATGATTGCAAGTGGAAAAAAAATTTAATGGCCACTATAAAAATGTAGTCTAAAACGTAATTTGTGAGGGTTGTATCCAAAACGAACAATAACATATTATAATGAAAATATTTATTTTTAGAGTATGTTGTACTTAACAATTCTCAAGTTATATCTCCGTACCAAAAACCACATTAGATTTTGGTGAATTTATACTTTCGGAAATATTATCATACACATAATTTGTACGGAAACCATACGCCATGCCACATAAATTTATGAAAATATTATTTAATAAATGACAAAAAAAGCTCTGAAATCTCAGATTTGGGCTGCTGAAACTCCGGCCCAAACGGCGGATAAGATGGGCAACCCGAACCAAAGAAGAAACATAAATGGGCCAAGGGAAAGGGATGTATAAAACGACAGCGTAAGAGGCAGTGATTAGATAATAAATGAAGAGAAGAGAGCAGCGCGGTGTGACAGTCAAGACTTTCTTTCTAATACACTCCTTCCACAAAAGTGGGCCTTACTCAATCCTCATGGTGTAGTATTATAATTATTAATTATTATTATTATTGATCCGATCCATCGTCTCCACTCAGCGACTGCGAGTATGAATTATGGAGTTGGAAAGAGGAATTAAACAAAAAGATTTTGGCTCTTTTTGATCTTCCCTTTTCCGGAGGATTTTTACTTTACCTTTTCACAATCATTACAACTTTTCCCCAAAACAAATCTCTCGCTGTATCTTGATTTTTGCTCCCCCCCAGCCACGAACTGCTGCTCCAACTCGGTTTTCTTTCCTGGATCTGAGTGTGTGTGGGCGCTGTTCATGGAGTTCTTTCTTTTCTTTTCTTTTTTTTTTTTTTTTTGAAGTACAATGATTGATTAGGCATATTACTTTTGCAGTTTCCGTAAACAAACAAATTCTTTTCAATGCGGTTTGGAAAGGTGGAAGGAACTGATTAGGTGATAATGGAGGTGTACAGGGAAAAGGAGGAACCCAGTAAAAGGTTAAAACCTCGCAAACACATGCATATTATATCCACACTTCTTCTTTTTGTCTTCATTTATCAATTTTTTTTCTCTTGATTCTTCGCTTCTTTTATCCTGATCCAGTGGGCTACTCGTCTCCATTTCTTGTTTCCACTGAAATCCCGCCGCCCTAGCTCTCTGCTTTCTTCAATTCTGACATTTCGAATCTATGGACGAATCTGCCCTGGTGGATGTTCTAAACGACGAAGATAAGGTACGCCAATTTTCGCCCTAAATTTGTCCAAGATTCCCAATCATTTAACTTCTTCTTGCCGGTTACTACTTTTTTTTTCTCTAATTTATTGTCGTTTGCTTCTGGATTTGTTGATTAATTTCTGTTTATAATTGACGAATCCTTGTATTGTCTATGGTATTTTGGAGTTACTGTACCGTTACTTTGCTTGAATATACGGTTGGATTTGGTTATGGCGTCGTGTTGACAGGTGGAAGAAAATGCTTCTGGGAAACCACTTCTTGAGGTTTCGGTTTCCTTCGGTAGGTTTGAGAATGATTTACTGTCTTGGGAGAAATGGTCGACCTTCTCCCCCAATAAGTACTTGGAAGAAGTTGAGAAGTACGCAACACCCGGATCTGTCGCTCAGAAGAGGGCTTACTTTGAAGCTCATTACAAGAAGATTGCTGACAGAAAGAGCAAGTTACTGGAGCAGGAGAGGGAAGAAATGGAAGGCAATACAACAGTAGTGTCAGATGAATTGAACGGTGGAGAAGATCTAATGAACAACAGTGAAAGACTTGATTCAGAATCTGAGACGTCTAACCACCAAGTTTCTGCTGTAGAAGTTGAGCAGAACACGACGTTAATTGGTGAGGTTAGTGGTGTTTATCAAGATGAGGTGAAGGATGATGTTGAAAGTACCGCAGAATGTGAAAGTTCACCAAATGGCGAAAAGGAACAACCTGATGGCAGATTGGAATGTGTTGGTTCCGAGACAAGCAAACAAGAAGAAGTTGTTGTGAAACAAGTAGAAACTCTTCCAGTTGAATCCCGGAGCACTAAAGAGCCTCCACAAAAGTTGGTCAATAAAATCTCTGCAGTATCTAAGGTCAAACAACAGGTTCTGAAACAAAATCGACCAAAACAATCTAAGGAGGTGAAACTAGTATGTACTTCTAAATTGTTTGGAGTTACTAGGTATGGATTCACTGACTTCAATTTTGTTCATTTGTTTGTGCAGACCACTCCAGTAGTCAAGGAACGAAACAGTGCAAGTGTCAAGAAGAAACAGATATCATCCACAGCCAAAGCACCCCAGATTTCCACCCCCAAACTCTACAAGACAACACCAGGACCCACCACACCTGTTGCACGGTCTCCTGTGCCTCGGTCTTCCACAAAGAAGGGAAATAATTCATCTTTGTCAAGGAGTCAAAATCTGTCATCTGGAGAAGTCAAGAAAGTCGCTCCTAAGTCTCTGCATATGTCCCTTAGTCTGGGAACTCCCAACTCTGATCCGTCTTCTGGTACCGGAATTAGAAGATCTTTCATCATGGAGAAAATGGGGGACAAGGACATTGTAAAACGGGCATTCAAAACATTTCAGAACAGTTTCAACCAAATGAAATCATCTCCTCAAGAAGAGAAGTCTTCTGCTCCTAAGATGGTTAGATCTTCTTGCTTTTCCAGATGTAGATAATTCCAGAACTGCATATCTAATCTGAATTGATTGAGCAACATGTGATCGATTTATTTATTGTGAAGTTTTTCATTACTTGAAATTGTCATTATCTCTCAATGCCATTGACAGGTTCCTGCAAAAGAAAAAGAAATAAGGATCTCCACTTCCGTGGCCGCTAAAAAGGAGAATGGAGGGTATTATTTTTATTATATTTACTACTTCTGATATGATAACAACTGAACTTTTGGCTGCATTGCTTGCATGTATAGGTTATACGCACAGTCAATCTCTTTCCCTCATCATATTATTGGGAAACCTAATTTTGTTCATTTGTTTCTTCAATTCAGCAATTCCAACTCATTATTATGCTGCTTTCTGCCAATTACCTAACCTTTTTCTGAATAACTGTGTGAATTAGTCCTAAATTTTAGTTCTTTTTTTGGATGAGCAAAAGATCTGATAATTATCTTCCCAGAACCAGAAGTTAGTACCTAATTTAGGCCTGAAACATTTTATCACTTCTTTTTAACAAACACACATACTGCCCTCTTGCATTAAAATGACAATAATTTCTTGTGATAGGTTGAACAAAGTAAGTAGTACAATAAGAGGTACAGAGAGCAGAACTGCCAGAGTTGCTCCATCTCAGAAATTTGAAGGAAAATCCAATGCAAAAGTGGCAGGGAGAACTAACCTCCAATCAAAATCTAAGGTTGCCCCATCTCAGAAAGTGGAGGATAAATTTAATGCTAGAGAGGGAGGAAGAACAAATCTTCTATCAAAACCAAAGGTTAGCTCAAGTGCGGTATTTAGTTTTATCTTTTTTTTTTAATCACTTCATTGTTATATATCTGCTCCTGCACGTAATAAACAAAATAAAACTGGTAGATGATTAGTGGGTTTTTCTTGTCTCCCATTTTCACATTTCAAAGAATCAACGATTCTTAACATATATGTTGGGACCAATTATCCCGTAGGTGTCTAAGAATGGGCCTGTTTTTCTTTCTTTTCCTTTTCCCCTCACTTGAAGCTAAAAAAAGTAGCAGAATTATTGCTTTGCTTGGTCTCTTTTTCTTTAGAATGCTTTAAATATTAGTATCACATATGCTATTTGCTTATACAGGATGCTTCTAAGAATAGGCTGCGCTCTTAAATTTGTTGATTGGAAACGAATTATCAGCTACCAGGAAATGCATCGACAATGGGAACTGAATCAGATTGGACGATGATGAAAATTACTTCTCCCTGATGGCCCCATGTCATGAACTCATTGTTTTCCCTGAAAGTCCACCCAGAGTCTGTAGATTGGAGTGGGTTGGATCTACAATGAACAAGCAGACGACGTCATGTTTATGAGGTCTATTAGCAGTATACAGGAAGGTCGGGGGTCCCGAAACAGCCCCCATTTATATATATCTAAAGGGAATCTCTTTGTATGATGTTGAATTGTCTTGGAATTGCCTTATTTTTCTTTAAGATAGCTGCAAATGTTATATATATATATATATATATTGTATACTTTGTAGTTTGTAGTCCCCAGTTGCTATATGATGTTTGATGATACTACAATTTTAGATTAGATGGACAACTTCGGATTGGCCATGTTTTTAACTTTATTTTCATGATTAAATAATACTCTTGTTGTAAATCAGGATCTTAACATTTGGCTTCTAGATCTGGGAAACGAAAGATTTAGCTTCTATTAAACAGTTTTAAGTACATTAAAAAAATGCTCTATTGTTACATCTCTGTTCCTGATTTCGAATCTTATATACAATAATTTAACAAGAAAACAAACAATGCAAAACATTTACGAATAAGGTTTGCTCAGAAATCATTGTCTGAATCACTAGAATTGCCTCTGGACTTGTCTGACATAAAATTTTCCGGCAAGTTTGGGAAGACGGCTTTCGTTCTCCCCGGTGATGAACCCAAATTTACTGCTGATGTTCTTCTCCTTTGGAGATTTCGAGCAATTTCAACACACACCCGATCCACCATTTCTAGAAAATCTTTAACTATGATGAATAATTGAAGCCGATTTGCTTCTTTATCTTTTGAACTTCCCGCCTGATAATACTCTGTTGTCTTCTTCACAAGCTCCATCACCTTCGTCAGTTCTTCCCTCAACACCTTCAGCTCACCCTCTGCTGCTTCATGAAACCCTCTCATTTCTTTTGCAAACCCACCTCCATTATTCCCAATCTGAGCCAAAATTTGCCGGATTTCTGCGGTGCGGCCTATCAGAGACGAGGTGGAGTTGGCGAAGCTCTCGTAATCGATCCCGGCTGCTTTCTTTACATTAGAGAACTCAGCACTCAGACCTCCCACCACTGGCAATCCCAACATCATATATTCCTTTACTCTGTCCTCCTTCGAAGTAGAATTTTCGGAGCTACTGAAGCTGTTGTCGCTGCCATGGCTGCTGTTACGGCTCAAGCTCTTGTTCCTGTTTAGGACACACCTTTTCCCTTCTGCCCTTATAACTTCTTCCACCACAAAGTGAAGTAATGTGGTTTTCCCGTCAGTGCTTCTAACATCAGAGAGCTTCCGAAGAGCTGTAAGATTGAAAGCTCTGGCATTTCCTCTCGCAGTTCCTGCATTCAGGCGATTCCCAGCTTTGAGGATTGCTTCAAGCAGTTTCAAAAACAGCCCTCGAGTTCTAAGCTCTTTGCAGGCCGATTCCAGAGTTTGTAGAGATTCCTTCAAATGGAGGATATCCGAGCCGTAATTCAATCGGAAAAGCATGGCGTTGAAGCGCGTAAACGCAGATGGAACCGATTTGAGGATATGGAAAAGGAAGGATTCGGCATCAGCAAGCTTCTGGGGGTCTCCATTGTACGCAAGAATTTGGGAAATTTCTTCTTTGGTCGGAGAAATTCTGGCGAGTTTTTCAAGAATCTCTGTTTCGAGGCCTTGGCCTTCGTTGAGGGCATCGAGGATCTCGTTGCGTGGAATGGTTAAGGACTTGACTACAATGGCTATGTTCTGAGACTTTTTGGGTTCAAGAATGAAGATCTGCGCTGGCCCTGAGTTCCGGCCGCCGGCGTTTGCTGAAGAATTAGCCTCACTCCGGGGGGATTTCCGGTTGGTCGCCACGTATCCGAACAGAGCTTCCATAAGATCCCCATCAAATCTGTACCCATATGAAAATATTAATCAGTACCCAAAAGAATTTACTCGAAAGAAAAGAATATTGATGGTTTGATTAGATGATTACTTGAAAGAACCGGCGCTCATTTTGTCCCAAACCATGGAATGATCGGCATTTGCAGTGTTCACTTTATCCCAATGCAGAGGCTTCATTTTAACCTGACCATTATCCGCTGCCGTAGATGAAGACGACTCTGCTGACGATTTGGCCCCTTTTGGAACTGCTGCGGTCGCCCTTAGCGGCAATTTGGAACCGCCGGCCTTGGGCGGCGGAGGTGGTGGTGCTGCCGGATTTCCCTTGGATGGAATCGGAGGAGGAGGTGGTGGAGCTGAATTGGTCTTGGCTGGAATTGGGGGCGGCGGCGGCGGTCTTGAATTGGTCTTGGCCGCAATCGGAGGCGGCGGTGGTGGTGGTCTCGAATTGGCCTTGGCCGGAATTGGAATCGGCAGCGGTGGTGGCGGAACAGCCAAGAGAGATTGTGGCGGGGGCGCCGCCGGCTGCGGCGGCGGTGTGGACGCAAGAATTGAACTACTCGCTGGTTTTCCAACTGCCTGAACAGAATTCGCAGTAAATCGCGGAGGATTGGTAATATGGGGCGGCTGTTGCGGCGGCGGAGGGGGCGGCGGAGATGTAATCCCAATCCGAGTCGGCTCCTCCTCTTCCGGTGCAATTTTGACATGTGAACTCGAAGACTTTCCTCGAAGCAGCGGAATTTCTTGAACAGGCTCTGACTTTTTGCTCCGATTTCCTTTAACATTTTCTCCTTCTCCATTTCCATTACTCGGATCAGAGCTATTCTTGGATTTCCTTCTCTCAAGTCTTTTCCAATAAATCACATCCAACCCATTTTCATCCACAATAAATCCCTTAAGATTCCCATCAAGACGCGAAAATTCACTCTGAGTCTGAGAAACTGCAGCCTGCGACACCGGCCCCGGACCCAAACCCGGACCCGAACCCGGAGCTACCTCCTTTTTCCGTCTTCTAATCAGATATCTCTGGATTAAGAAAAAGAACAACGTCGAAATCAGAGCCACACCCACTGCAGTGACGGCCACCGCCGTCGCGATGGTCTTAGCCGACGTGGACGGCGACGGCTGGTGGAGTGAGGAGGAGGGCGGCAGTGGCGATGGTGGGGGAGAAATAATTGGGAATAAAGGGTAGGAAGTTTCGATATTTTGAGGGGGACTGAATTGGCAATAACAAACAGGGGAAACAGAGAGAAAAAATAAGAAGAGAAGAAGACGCCATGGCTGAAACTGAAGCTGAAGCTGAAGAAGCAGAGCCATGGCGGAATTGGGAAATCAGAAAAGAGAGAGGAAAAAGGGGGAACAAATTAAATCGGGGCGAAAAATTGTAAAAGATGGAAGCTTTGAAATTGGCAGCAAAAAGATCTARAAAACATTGTCGTGTGTTTTTGGTGTTTGGTGGCTGACAGTTTCAAAGCGAGCAGTTAGTTGTTGTCTCTCTTCAATATTTCCCGGGCTCCTAAATTAAAATAAAATTAATCCTCCCATTAATATTCTTTTAATTATACAGCTGTAATATTCAGTTGCAAATATATTGCATAATTCAAATAAATCTTTTTTTTTTTCCTTCCCCTGTTGTTTATGTGATTTGCCTATTAATATAGGCTTTGACATGGAGAAATTATTATTATTATTTTTTAAACGACTCTTCAACTTTGCATCACGCGTTAAGGAAACTTCTTTTTAACAAAATAAAAAGTAGTTAAARAGCCATGGAAGGAGTAAAAGTTAGTGGATTAATAATTAAATAATAATGAAGGGGGGAGGAAATTAGGGTTTTATTTTTTGGAGAATGTGATTGCATGATGATCCTGTCAAAGTCAAATGAATACAAGTTGCTATGAGTGGCCAACTGATAACGATAAGTTTTATAATTACCATTAATTTTATTTATTGAATAATTGATAAATATTTCCTTTTTCTTTTTTGGAAAAAAATTAATTTATGCAACCGACATTTGTATAAGTAGAAGCTGACCGATTTTAATTCTCCAATCATTCGTAGAGGCAGAGTTTCCAAAATGAAATCTCATAGTTTGACAAATTGGGATAAAGAAAATTAGTATACGAGTTTACTAAATCAATTTATGACATACTTGAAGGAGCCCTGTATTATACTATAAAGTTTGATGTTACATTTACATAAATATGCAAAGTTGGAAAGAAAAAATAAAAGGGTAAAATCGTACTTTTCGAAAACATTTATTCAAAAGAAAAGCATGGGCCATGATTATAAGTGAGGGGGAAGAAGGAAGATGGAAGAGGGTAGGGAGTTGCTCACCAACTTTCATTSGTTTCCTTTATTTAGTCTTTCTCTCCATAATTTATAATTATTGGCTTGAGCTAATTCGAGCCGTTGAATAAATGAATTATCGTCACGGTCCAAGTGGGCCAAAAGCTGAATTTCAAAGAATTTAGAAAATCTGTTCCAACGATGATAGTCATTTACATAAGACACTTATTATACAAAGCATGCTAAGTCACATTTTAACATTTTAATTAACTCGATAGATAAGATATTTATTACCATTTTAAAAGTTTGGACACATATCTTAYCGAATCAATCATAAGACATATGAGAATGTCAAATGATAGGGGTTGAGTTTGATACATCAATCATCTACTTAATATCATTTTATGAGTCCACGAGATGAACCTTGATTTGGTGAATTGTATTTTGCCTATAGTTATTGTGTGTGTATTGTATATATACTGAGGTATTCTCAGTCCTAGTTTATTAAAATGATAAGAGTTACACTTCGATTCAGAAAGATGATGAATTAAAAAGTCGAAATATGGGTGGGTCAATTCTCCATCCTTGTTGAACTAAAAAAAAACTTCTTAATAAATACACATTATAGCACTCCAAACTTTATAGTTTTTACTAGGTAAAATATTATCTTAAGTTTGAAGTATAAATAATTTGTCACGTTAATATCTTAGTCAACAATTTATAGGTCACTGATAATTTTGTTACTTCAAAGACCGATTAAAATGAACATTATTGAAATTTTATAGGCAAGAATATATACTTTTTGAATCTCAAGGGAACAAATGAAAACTAAATTCAAAATTCAAACATCAAAATAGTTATTTTATCTTGTATTTCTTTAATTCCAAAATTTTAAAATATTTCAATTATATTTATAAACTTTCAATTTTAATTTTAATAAATTCTAGTTATTAATTAACTTATTTTTAATACAACATATGGATTTAGATTTAAATTAAATAAGTACCTTAATTAGTTCAACATGGTGAAATGCAAAGAAATAAAAAAAAAAAAGTCGGGCAAAAAAAAAATTCTGATAGATGGGCGGGCGTTTGTAATTTTTTTTTCTTTTTTTTTTTATCATTCTACTTTGCTCTTTTGTTCCACGGTGTGCCAAATAATCCCCTGTCAGTCTAATAAGTTATAATATCAACACAAGAATTAGAAAAAAAATAAATAAACCAAAAAAATAAAAAAAATTTAAGAAAGTAACCACAAAATTTTAAAACTTAGAAGCTAAACAAACAAAATCATCAAATTTAGGAGACAACATTTATTATTATTATTATTATTTTTTTTTTTAACTCAACAACGGTGAGAAATTCCAACCTTTAACTGTCATGGCAATAAAATAAAACCTATTAAAGACAAAGACACCCAAAATATGGTATGATAGTGTTTACTTTGAATCCAACTATCATAGCTTTATTCAACTTGAAATGTCTCATACTAATAGAGATAATTGTATCTCGTCTACATATTATGGATCACTCATTTCTCAAACCAATATAAGACCTTGTTTGTACTCCTTGCAACTCCAACAAAATCTTGACTAGTTGATCTACATAGGCTGATGTCGGTAAGAAACAAAGTCTTATAGGTCAACCTATTATAATCAACCAAATTAGAGATAAAAAAGAACTGCATTCACAAGTATAACCCATAGTTAAAGATAAGGGGTGGGGATTTAGTCTACTAAAGAAGCCAAATTTTCAGAAAAGAAAGCTTAAGGATGAAACACATTTCCAAGTTATGAGAGATAAAATTGGAAAAAGGCCAAATCAAATTGGGTGAGGTGAAGGAATTGACATTGATGGCTCAATGGGTTCCCTTCTTTCCGGAGCACTGAAACTTTGACTCAATCCATAAAGTTGCAGTGTGAAACCACAGAAAATTGTAACCCAACAGACAAAAAGATACCCTTAAAAGAGTTCCCATATGACATTTGTCCCCAAATAAAAGAAAGCCAAAATAAAGGCTAAGCCTCCCCGTGGCCTCACCATGAAGTTTCGATTCACCATTTCGTAATTTAAAAAATTATATTGATCTTTGTATAATTTCATTCATAAGTTATTTACCTATTAGTCAAGTTTCAAAAACAAAAACTAAAAATGAAATAGAGGTAAATGATGGGATTAGTGGTGAGTGATCAAAAGAGAGAGAATGGGATGATTGTTATTGGGCCTGGTGAAAAAGAAGAGGCCCTTTTGGTTGTGTAAAAGCAGGCGGGCCATGGGCCATATCTGGACCACTTGGAAATTGGAATCCAATGGAGACCAACTAAAACCAAAACCAAAAAGATAAAATCAATCAACTTGTAATGTTATGTATTGAGGTGATTTTTTTAGTGCAAAACACACCCAATTTGCCAACCCCTCAATCTCTTTCCCTTTGTTTAAAGATACGCCCATCTCACCCCACTTCATTAATTAACACACAGATCAGATCAGATCAGATCAGATCTTCCTCTTCCTCTTCCTCTTTTTTGAGTTATAACAACAATAATAATAATAGAGGGTTGTTGTCATGTAAGTTGTAAGAAAGTCGAGGAGTTTTTAAAAATGGATTTGAACAAACAAAATCGAGTCACTTCAAATACTCACATTACATTACAACATGTCAATGTCAATGTCAATGTCAAAGTCAAAATCAAAATCAAAACGAAAACGAAAAAGTGTGTTAAGAAAAGATGAAGGGGTTTTGAATAGGGGTCCCGTGGGAATGGGGAGGGGCACAATTGTTTAATGTATGTCGGATGGAGTGGGAGTGGGAGTGGGAGTGGGGTTGTTTTCTCACAGGCATTTCTACAAACAAGACATATGCAAATATGAGGCCTCCCACGGACAACTTCCCAATGCCATAACACATTAATAAAACTTAAGTTTTGCTTCTCCCAACAATGAAACTGCGCCACTTCATTTCTGCTTCTTCAAATATTCTCTTTAGCAGACAACATCTTTCCTCTTTGCCAATTTCCCAAATCTCATCTTTTTTAAACTTTACTCGGTTCCGCTATATTTTTTACTCAAATTTGTTTCCATACATGACAAATCAAAAAACATATCAAATTCATGTACTTCTATTAACAAATATTTGAAAATTAAAAGATACAAAAATACAAGAATTTAAGTCGAAAACTCTAAACGGAGTCCACGAAAGAAAACACGCTACGAAGAATTATTACAATCTCTCGCACAATTAGTATACCATACTCGAATTGTTTCAATTGTGATGAATAAAGCCGTAAACTATTGACCCTTTTTTTATAACATTTAGAACACACTTTTTCTCATTGTACCTTCCTACATGGGACAATAACTCTTTTAATATTTTGATAAAACATTGCATAAATTTAAATTTAGTTGGTATGGCTATTTTGGAATTTTGAGTAATTTCAAATGAATTTGATGGTGAGAGTGATTTCAAATCTTGCACGATTTGAAACACTGTTGTTACGTGCCAAATTTTTCATGCCAAAATGTATAATTTCACATAATTTTAAGGTAAATGATGTCTTTAGTTTTGTTATATTTTAATTTTCAATTAATAAATTAAGATGAAAATTTTATACTAGTAATTTTTTCTAATAATAAAAGTTAATTCATTTCAAATCTTTCTTATTCTAAACCAAATATGTAATTTAAAATCATTTATCATATTTCAATGGTAGAATTTAGAATCACTAAAGCGAGCATGCTTTCTAAATACTAAAATGTTGAAAGGATCATGACTTTTTAGAAACAAAATTGAAATTTTAGGTACTTATTAAACACAAAATTCTCAATTTTGAGACTTATTTAATATTTGTTTTAAGTTAATGAATTTGAGGCCAATATCTTGAAAATTAAACCAACCAGAGTAATATAAATTAATAAAATAAATTCAAATCAAATCAATTGTTTTATACTAGAAAATTGAGTCGACTCACAATACTTCGTTCCGATCAGTTTTTTTTTTTTCCTTTTAATCAACCTTACCATCTCTAGACCACAAATGCATGTTAAGAAACGACTGTGTGTTGATTTTTTTTTAAAAATAATCAAACGTGCTGCCAATATTGTATTACAAACAACTCAACGATGAAGTGTTATGATCGTCTCTCCATGTATTAAGGAAGCACAATTTTGGAAATAAATTTTAGAAAAGCATTATTTCGAAAATAAATTAAAAAGAACCATTATTAAAATGACCCAATATTCTATTATGTCTTTTTTTAGTGCAATAAATGAACGGATAATAATAATAATAATAACAACAACTTTATTGAAAGGAATGTGACATCTAATTTTTGAACATTTTTCAATGTATAAAAGTAGGTTTGATTGGAAAGAAAATCCCCAAATTCATAATTCATGAATTGATACTATTCCTCTTTTAGAATTTTAAGATTAAAGATACTTGTCTCGATGCATTTAATATAAAAGAATGAATTCGACAGAGTTAAAAGTAAAAATTTAAAAAGTTTTTTCTTTAATATATTATAATTTTAGAATTCAACTTGTACAATTGATTATGTTGGACTTAGTCTTTGATCAAATTGATAACCATACATGATACAATATACTTTTATTTTGCTAAATAGCAAATTGGTTGGTATGAATTTTTTGTCAAAATCAATTTTCTATGATTCACCTCAATCCCCATCTATTCAGTTAGATTTTTTGTTTGAACTTATGAAATCCCTATCTTTTCCTTTAGATTTTTCGTTCCAACCTACAATACTGCATTTTGCAGAATAGTCAAATTTTATATTCTTTTTGTTCAATTTATGCAATTTTTTTTTTCACCGAAGCCAGAAATTTAAACCCATTTGATAATAAATTTCATTTTTTACTTTTTTTTTTTCAAATCATGTTTGATTTGTTTAGTATATCTTATGACATTTGAATTTTTAGCTAAATTTAAAAAGGAAACAAAAGTTTTTAAAAACTATTTTTTTTAAATTTTTAAATTTAGCTAATATTATAAAAATATTAAAAAAATAGATAATAAAACAAAGAAACATATCGATAAAAGTAAAATAGTAAAGTAGTGTTTATAAATTTGGTCACGGCAAGATACCCTAATTTTACAAATTTAAGGGCAAATCTTAATAAAATGTTAATCATTATGGTTTATCTTCCTCCTTCAATTCTTCACTAATGCACTTTTTATAGTCTTTATTCATACACGTAGATCAAAATGTTATACATCTATCTTAAAGTCATATTTGAATCACCTAAAATTTGATGGATTAAAAATTGATGGATTAAAAATATATGTATTTTAAAAGTTATCAATAATTTGAATCCTCTTCACTTTCATGCCAGAAACAATTATTAAATTAATTTAAATCGAAGTTTATATTTGAGAGATATGAAAAGTTTGTAATATTTTTTAAATAACTATTGACAAAGAATTTAAATTTACTTAAAATTTCGTGGATTAAACTTTCTCTATTCATTAATTGGCCTCTAAAAAATCATTTGTAAAATTAATTTGAATTAAAAATAGGCATGAATGATAGCAAACTCTTGGAAATTTACGTCTCAAGAAAAAAGAATCTTGAAAAGGTCTCCTATCAATAGTAACTTGATTTGACCTCAGGGGCCTAAGCATTATTTATTAAAAAAAAGACCGGCACGAAAATAAAGGAGTATTTTTAATAAGTAGCAAAATTATTTATTATGTTTGTAAATATATCACTAATGTTTTTATTTTAACTGCTTATAGTATAGTGAATGAAGGTGGAGAGAATGAAGATTGCTCCAACTATGTTTAATTTTGGAATTTTATGATTGAGTTATCTAAAAAGAAAGTTCACTATTGATTCATCCATGTACCTCTCATCTCTATTCGGACGTTACATGTCTATCAGCTTTCGCTTGGTTTGTTCCCGAACCACATCATATTGGAAGAGATTATGCTCTGATATCATTTGTAACATCCTAAGTCCAGGATTCAGAATTTGGATTTGATATCTATTTGCCCCAACCATATTTATCTAAGCTATTTAGAAGAGCGAAAAATATCCATAGAAACCAACACGAATCATTTTAGCATGTTTTGTCATCACTCACACTTCTTAATAAATGTAGATCATCCGATCGAAGATTGTTCCAAAACAAACATACTTAACTTTGCTCCAAACCATCGAAAAAGAAGGTGCACATTGTTAATAATATATAGTAACTATCAATCATTCTAAACATCTTTTAACCATGTTTCTATAATCTAAAAATATGAACATCTTTTAACCATGTTTCTATAATCTAAAAATTTGATGTCATATGTATGGTTTCATCCATGTATCTCTACTATCTACTTGAATTATCAGTAGTAATCCAAAATAAAGAGTAGATAATATTATTTTATTTAATATTTGCAATTAATTATTAGTACTGATCCAAAATAAAGAGTCGAGAATATTATTTTATTTTCAACTTAACTATAATTCAATTAATTGAATTAAACTAAGGTGCGATATATTATTTTATTGAAATCAAATATTATTTCTGATTTTGGGAGACAAAATCTTGCAGTGTCTCTACCACATCTCAATCATATCCGCTGCAATCTCATTACTAATTGGTCATTTTTATCATAATTCCACCGAAAATTAACCCCAATTTAACAAAATATCCGGGAGATTATTTTTTTATTTTTCAATATTTATATGATTGAACTCTATGAATTGTACATCACGCCTTGGCCCCGGAGGATCGGACAACCCCTATGCGTTGCGTTTTAGTAATTAACGGCGATTCCCTAGCCCTAAATAACATAAGCGGACAAAACTGGGGTTTCCAACAAACGACCGTTAAAACTAACAGGACAGGGGAAAGAGGAAAATAAATAAATAAATAAAAAGGAAGATGTTTAATTTTTTCAAAAAAGAAATAATAACAGGAGGAGGAGGGGGGATATGTTGCTATTCTCGCAGGGTATTCCTGATTCATTGAGAGTCATTTAGAGCCGTCGGATTGAAGAGTAGACGTCGGAGAAGATGGTTCTGACGAAGATGGGGTGGATTGAAGCGAATCTGACGGCGATGGAGATGGAGCGGAATCGGATGATGAAATAGACGGTGACGATGAGGCGTGATCGCACGGCTCTCGTAGCTTCCTCTTGTTGATCCCACTCCTCTGAGTCGCAGTCTTTTCGTCCCCCACCATATATTCCCTGAGCCGCTTCACATCTGATAACTTCACCGGCTTCACTATGAAATCCTCCGCCCCTTCCTCCAAACATCTGTCTATACGCGCCACCACGTTCTCCGACGACATAATCACCACCGGTATCTCCCTCAGAGCAGAACATTCCTGATCACCGCCAATTTCGCTCGATTAAACCAATTCCACTTTCCAATTTCTTCAATTTTAATCAAAACTTAAATAAAAAATAATACCTTAATTTTCTTGAGCAATTCGTAACCAGTCATTCCGGGCATGCAGTAATCGGTGATGATCATATCCACCTTCAACCCCTGATTTCATTCAATCCCAAAAATATCAAAACCCAAATCTCATACATCGAAAAATTCAGAAATGAAAACCCAAAGCTCTCAAAAAAAGACTTCAAATTTCGAGTGTACTTACATCATAACCAACAGGGGAATTGGTCTCGTCTTGCAATCCAAGGTATTGCAGAGCTCTAATTCCACTATCCACCGCAGTAACTGCCAGTCCGAAGAAAACCCAAAATGAATATCCCGAGAAACAAACAGAATCCAGAGAGGGAAAATGAAATTGGAAAGAAATAAAAGATGGGCCGGATATGAACTGACCTCGGCAGGCGGTAAGGCGGAGAAGACGCTCAATTACTTTACGGTCGACGAGGCTGTCGTCGACGGCGAGAACATGGACCTCGGAATCAGAGGTGGGGATGCGATCTAAGGCGTCGATCTGGTCCGGCCTCCGCCGGCGGGAGAAGACAGGGGTTCTGGCCATGGAGAGAGAAAGACAGAGAGAGATAGAGAGAGAGAGAGAGGTCGTGTTGTGTTGTAGTTGTATTGTGTGGAGTAGGTTAAGGTTGTAGGGGTGTAATATAAAGTCCTATGTGGTATGTGTCTGTTGGAAACACAAAACTGTGTAGTTGTGTGGGGACTCTGTTTTTTTTACATAACAGGTCTCTATCGGAAATCAAATCTCTCCCTCTCTCAGAAATCCCAAATTGGCTCTTTTTTAATATTATTTTGTTTCACTTTCTTTTTTCATTTAAACTTAACTAACGTTTTAAGATACAGAGGATGAGATTCTCAAATCCACTTGGGTCAGATCTCCAAATAAACGCAATCTTCCGATATCTCGTCCTGTCGTTGTCGCCCACGAGATTTTGAGGGGGTTTTTCCGGTCAACATATTGGACTACGTGCACCCGCGTTGGACTCAGGATTGAGTTGACCGAGGTCAACGGAGGACGACGCCGTCAGATCCGAATGAGGAAATGACCGCGCGGTTCCATAACAGAACAGAACAGACAGCATCTGTCATCTGATCTAATCCCCCAATATAATTTTAATGTAAAAAGGAGGGGGTAAAAAGGGGAAAATGAAGGAGAAAATTACTGCGGTGTAAAATTTGGGAAACCGAGGCGGTGATTTAGAGACACGACAGGAACAGAACAGTAGGTGGTACGAGTATGGTGCGGCCTGTGTTACACGTGCTGCCCTCGTGCCTTTTAAAAGGAGAAAAAGGGAAAAGGGAGGGAGGAGAAGTCAAGGACTGCAACAGGGTAAATTGAGTAAAGACGACAAAAGAGAGAGAATTTGGAGATTTGGGGGAGTCCCAATGAAATCTAGAGTGGGACCCACGACATCTTATGTTGTCAAGAAAAACCTTTTTTTTTTTTTTTTTCGCTTAATGCTTGGACTTTTTCTTAGTTACCCTAATTTTTAAAATTGAAATAGGAGAATGGGAAGAATTGCATTAACTAGTACCGTAAATAAAATCTGGGGACTGGGATTTCTGCAGCTTGACTTGTCTTCCCAAGATTGATTTTTGCTTTTGGGGTTTCTTCAGCCTATTTTCTATTTGTAGGCTACAATTCAGAATTTTCTTTTTTAAATATCAACAGTCCGTAATCTTGATCCTACGGCCTACGCTCCATCAACATTAACTATTTACTTCTCCGCCTCACCGTCACCGTCCCCCACTGCCTCCATTTATTGCCTCTTCACCCTTTCCGTTCCTATTTAATTTGCATCTTTTGGTTTTTTTCCCGATATTTGATTATTATTTCATCCTTACTTCTAAAATTGTAAATAATTTATTGAGTCTGGCATCTCTAGTCAAAAGAGTGTTTGAGCTATTTTTCTCTTTGTTCATCAGCTACATCTAATATGAGCTTCACGATTTTTGATCATTTTTCTTGATCAAACAAGTATCGTTCAATTTCAATTTGATTGTTCAACTTTTAAAAGCGATGCTCTTGATTTTTTATCATTGTCGGTTGAGTTGATAATTGGTTGATTTAAAGGAAATTTTCACATGTTAGTTAATTTGCTAGAATTAATTTTAAAGGAAATGAGAGATTCTTTGTTGGTGACAATGCTATCGACTTATTCACATACGATTTCAATTGAGTTGAGACCAACGACGAATTTAACTATAATGATATGAGGTTAATAATTCACGTGTTACCATGTTAATTATCATGTCACATTTTCATATTCTAATCGAGTCAATTAATTATCAACTTAATTCAATTAAAAATAAAAAGTAATAGGACTTCATATTGTTTTTGATATTTTAGAAACTAAATAGAAGAAAAATCTAAATCTCAAATACAAAAAGAAATGTCATTGTGACACAAATAGAAAGGATGACCACATGAATGAATCGAAAACACATATATATGAGAGAGATTTTAAGATCACAAAAGAGCGTGGTTAGGAAATACTTAAAATAATTGATGGAAACAATTTATACCAACAAGGTGACATTCTCATTTCCAGTAATTTAATCATAACAACTCGAAAATTAAGGTACACGATTTGGATAACCTTGGATAAACTTCTAATAAAGACAAAGTATTATAAAAACAAAATGCGTGTTGATCTAATATGAAGAGTGAAAATTGAGTTTTGAATTTTCACCTTTTACATATTTTCTTCAATGACTTCACGCGGTCGCCCGTACATGAAAATTGGGCCAGCTGCCCCTCCCTAAAAGTCCAAATAATTTAATTAATTTATTTCTTGGTGAAACAATTTTCTTTAGTTTAACCATTATATATACTTTAATTAGTTCAATTACGTTTAGGAATAACGCTATAATTTTTATTTCATATTACATACATTCTATTAGATTTTAAGTTATGTCTTCAATTTTACCACTTATAATTTAGACTTAATTTTAAATTAATTCAGTATTAAAAGTCTCAATTTAAAAATGAGATTTAGTTTTAATTTGATTCCTATTTCTCATGATTATGTTACAATTTACAAATTGTCTTGGAACCATTTTTCCCACCTCTTTCTCCTCTAATTTACTCCATTTAAATCCTCAAATTGGTTAACAAGATCAACAAGATAGAAAATATAGCTCATTTATATTAGTAAATAGAAAGTATGCGACCTTGCTAACAGTAAATGCAATTCATAAAGTTTGACTATATTATATAGACCAAATTAAAAAATATTTAAATCCATATAAACGAGATTGAAACTTTAGTCAAAATCATATGGATGAGTTTGAAACCAATCTCAAATCATCATATGCACCAGAATTGTAATTTAATCTATATTTTATTACCTTTTCTAGTATTATCATTAATATCATAAGCGATTAAGATGATGAAATGTCAAGACCACGTCAATGAAGTTGGGATAATTGTATGTATTTATTAATTTTTCGTATTAATAATTTAATTCCTTTTGAAACAATATTATTCTCACAAATATTCTAAACTAATAACTCTGCCAACAAAATGTATACTCTATTTAGATTCTAAGCAAGTAACACAATTTTTGTTTACATAATATTTAGGAACGTAGTAGCATTGTACCCCGTTGGAGAAACATCATTCTAACTCAATACAACTAGAGTACATCTTCTATAATTAGACATAACACTCAAAGGCGCATTGATTCAAACCTAGGCCCTATACTCTAACCTTCCCTTTTGTTATTATTTCTTACTTAAATTAATGAGGAATCGTGATAGGGTAAATCTTTAGGGTATTATAGTCATTGACAATCCGTTTGTTTATTCTTTAACGAATTACTTTGATCAAAGCATGCCTCAATTTCAATGTGGTCCACATGAAGGTGGTACTTACTCTACAGTCTACAATATCATTAGGCTTGGTGATGGGAGATGTCGGTAGCAATTGCTTTGTCAAGATTGTATGACTTTAATTGGCAAGAACGAGATTCAAAAGAGGAAGAGAATGAGGGATTGAGGTTTGAGAGTAAGCGTTGTAAAAGAGGCTCATTTGCTTGTATCAAAGAGATCAGAGGTGAACATATAATCTTGACTAAGAAATTTGTATATGTGCACCGTTGGTTTTGAGAGTGGATTAGACCGCAATGTTGAACCGCCATAATTCTTCATCTGCTCGATCTTCTTGATTGACGATTCTTTGTTATTTCTATTGTTCATGCGTTGATAGTTAAAAATATTATGTTACGGCTATATTAAAATTCCCAAAATTTCTTCGATAAAAACTCCCATCGCTAATATATTTATGGAAAAAACAATACTTAGTTATTGATTGGTTAGTATATATGGATCATTATTACATCTATTCCCGGACCGAAATAGGAATATATACAATAAAGAAGTACAACAGAGATACAATGGAGAAGATTCTTTAATTTTTTCAAAAGATTAAATAGTCTTACAGAATTGTAAGGGTGATTAGCAGAAAAAAAAAATAAAAAATAAAAAATCACCAGATGAATAGCTAAGTATTATTTTTGTTAATATTATTAGTTTATAGTGTAAGTTTTAGAATATATGGAATGATAGACAGAGAAAAGGACGGCGTTTGCATGCGTTTTTTGTTTTCATTTGGAGTTGTACCTTTTTGTATGGAGCTTCCCTACGCTACAAAAAACAAATCTTTTCTTTAAACAAAATTATAAACGAATCCTAGGTTCCCATTCAAGTAGAAGCTACCGAATTCAATTTATTTTTACAGTTTACTGTTCATTCCCATGTTCCCATCTCTCTTTTTTGACCTATTTTTATAGGGGAGTCTTTAACTCAATGGATCTCCGATAACTCAACCTAGCTCGACTCCTGATTAGTGGTTTAAGAAAATAAGGAGGCTCACAGGAACCGTTATCGCAGGAGTAGGAACATGACAATTATTCCATATTTTACCACTAATATTTTCTTTTTCCTACTTTTGGATCTTGGAAACTACCATATATGGTCATGAATAAAACTCGAGTCATAATTTAAATATATTTAGCATAATATTTGATGCAACTTTCAAAATATTTAATATTTAACTATAATACCAATCATTAAATTAAGTGAGTCGACCATTAGAAATTTGTTTTTAGTTTGTTCTGAATATCGATAATGTTCTCCTTCTTGCAGATGTGGAACTATGTATGTTTCCTTAAAACAAAAGAAAGTATCATTGAATGGATGTATTTAAATAGTCATTTATTCATCTACTATCGACCACATCTAGAGTTTACATTCATGCAAATCAATTCATCTTCTTTAGAACAGTATACCGTTGGTTTGATAAAACTATAGTATGGATTATATTGTGGAATTATATTAGCACTAAGACGACCTTTCTATAGTTTCACATGATTATCTTGCGTCGTTAATTTTCATTGTTTTTTTTGTTTAGCATGCTAACACAGTTAAATTTGTTTATTTTTTGAGATGACGGCAATAAAGATCTTTTTTTTTCTCGTTATTGTTGATGTGAGATTATATTCGTATCGAGATGTAGATGTTTAATAATACGAATTTGTGTTAAATGAAACAAAAGTTTTAGAACTTTATAGCAATAGAAAGTTTATAATATTATAAACAGGTATTAGAGAGATCTAGATTAGATATGGCAAAGCACTTTAAAATTTGTTCACTTTGGACACGGCAAAGCCAGAGATAGCACGACACGATGATTATAATAATTGCAATTCTCAGAAGAAGAAAAAAAAGGTATAATGGAAAAAGGAAAAAGGAAAAACAGAAAAAAAGAAAAGAAAATGATGCGTTTAGTCAAAATTGGAATCTTGATCTGAGTTTGAGATTATGGGCCCACTTCCTCTCAGAATTTGCCACGTTTATTTCAGAATTAATTTATTCACTGTACTTCATTAATCATCAGAGTTGGCCAATAATGTCCGCTCTTCTGATAATAGCCTTTAATTATTTTCCCATCTGTACGGTACGGTCATTCTACAAAAATATCTTATTAATTTTGATTATTTTCTTTTGTAAGGCGAGATTTCATTATCGCTGAGTTAAATTTATTTCTGAAGATTTTTCTTAACTTAAGAATTAGGATAAAGGGGAAGAAAAATAATATATTCTTTCATTTTTGGGAATAAAATTGTGTGGATATGCTTTTCACTTGTACTACAAGCCATCTTTACCATCCAAGTCAAGGGTTTTTAAAGTGGTCCTTATTGCATGATAACAATACCACCTCCGACATTTTTATGGTCCTTTTTATTTACTTACCAAACATCAACAATAATTTTCTTCATCCTTGGTTGTATGTCTAATAAATGATTATGGTAATCCAACATATCTACCCATGCTATCCAATTTTTCTCTTTAAAAACTAACTGCTGCATAATCAAAAGCCTGAACTTTTTTACAGTAACGTCCTATCGTTAATTTAATGTAGTTTTAGAAGGCTAATACTAAGACTAGTGAAAGCACTTGAAGGGGAAAGAGTAAAAATTTAGTTGACCTACCGAATATGGGTTAGAATACAGAGTTTGTTTGGACTAGGGTATATGAACCTAATGGAAAAGATATCATCAGACCGCAAAGGCATGCAAAAGCAAAACATCTAACAAGATTTGAGAACTTCGAGTAAATATTTTTAATTACAAACTTCCTTTTCATACTCTAAAGTATTTTCATTTAGTCTCTAAACAAAGCCAAGATTTTAGTTAATAGACATGTTTTGTTTTTACTCTACGTTGATTAATTGGGGTTAAATTAATTACCTTCAATAGGAATATAATTCAAAGTTGGTGAAAATATAAATAGTTTGATGATTAAACGTTTATGATACACAATAAAATATTATAGCTAACGATAAATATATCTATTAGATTCAAAATTAAACATTCAGTGAGCATATAGTTATTAGAATATTTCAAAGTATATAAAGCACACAAACTTTAAAAATTCATAGACCTATTAGATGCATTTTAGATTACAAAGATTAAACATAAATCAACTTTTGAAACTTATAGATACAATTAAAGCTTACAAATTAAATAGGATACAATACCGAAAGTAGGTGTAGAGACTAAATTTTAAAAGTTGAAGAGAGAAAGTAGTGAACATAGTTAAATATTCTTCGAAAGAAAAGTACTTTTTTTTTTCTTTTAAAGAAAGAGAAATAGTTAGATATTTTATTTTGATAGCTTATAAATGATTAAGTTTACTCTAATTCATACATTCATCAGGTAGTTTAACCAATTTAATTTTAAGCAGATTAGGCATAATCTCTTCAAAGGGAGAGAGTGATTAAATATGTTATATGGGTTTGCGTCGTACGAGAAAGGATTACAAAAATGACATACAATGAACTTAACTCAGCATCTTTTGCCACCTCAAACTTTGGAGAGAAGATTTGATTTTGCTGTTTCAAATTTTGTATCTCATCTCCTCAGATTACGACAACTCACCAATCCTCTTTCTCCCCTTTTAATATTATCTTTCTTTCTTAAACCAATTTTTTTTTTTTTTCCTTCTCTCCTTTAATGTTTTTAATTTTAATTTCCCACATATTCATTTCAATTGGGTGGACGGCACCCAACACACTTGGCACTTCTTTACTCCAATTTTGACACAACTTTCACTATTGTTTCATATATTCATTGTTACATACTACCCTACTTAATTGGGTAAATGATTCATTTTTAATTTTTTTTTTATTTATGGTGTGAATCAAATTTAACTTTAAAATAGTGTTGATTTTGTAGGGTCGGAATATTTGTATCTTTATCCATATTCCATGGGGTGCGTATTCATGATATTTTAAGACATTTTTCTCTTTTTGTAAAAGTTGTGGATTTTCTTTAATTCTTGTGAGATTTGTTGACTAATTAATTTATCATGTGTACCTATTTTAATTTGCATCGCAGTTATAAATTAAATGAATTGGTTTATATGTTAGATTACTTTTAATTCCAAAAGCCATATTTGAATATTTCTTGATAAATTTGGCCCGGACAAATCTACAAAAAGATATAGTAATTTTATATATTGGACCATTGAATTTCGACATATTAGATTTCTCACAATTGTAAATGATATCGGTGGTCTCAATTTCAAATTTTCATCTTATTTATTCATGTATCTTAATAAGAAATCAACATCAAAATCAATATTGTTATTTAAATGAGTTGAACATCTCAATTTTATAGAGACGTTTTAAAAGTTTTCAAAAAAAATATAAAATTTGAAGGACATTATTAGAAGGAGTAAAAAATCAAGACATACATTATTTATTATTTATTATTATTATTTTAATAAAATATCAAATTTCAATTAACTTTGAAAATTTTATCACATGGGATACAATACTTACCATCCTTCCTTGTTGCACATTTCACGACCCGTTTTGCTTTTAATTTCACATAAAAAATCTTATATCAATGGAGATGTTGTCTCTCATTTATATATTATATATTATGATATTCTCTTTATTTAACCAATATGGGACTTTGGTTACATTCCCAACAGATTTTCATGCTATACTAAATTTGGGGAGGCAAGTTTCCTTATGTTTGCAATCCAAGTACTATCTTCACTAGTGATTCAATTTCATCACCAATCATCTTCATGGTCGTGTCAAATCAAATTCAATATGAAATTACCGCAAATTGAGATGATCAACAATACAGAATACGTAGATAATCAAGAAAAGCTAAAATAATTTTTATTTTAGAATTTGTAATTTGTAAAAATAGCCATGCGAACCATAATTTTATCACATATTCCATTAATAATTGTAATTACATATAAAATTTTAAAAGCTTTAATTGCATAGATCCGAGTTCCGGTCCAGAAGAATGGAAGAACAATCAAGGCCCAATAGGCCCATATCCAGTGCGCTATGGGTCATTTGATTCGAGCCGCGAAAGAATTCGTCTACCGGGAAAAATGGAGTGCGCCGGCAAGGGACGAGGAACTCGTTGTACGGGCCCGGCCAAACGACGCTGTGGTCGCTGCGGAGCCGTCGCTTATTGTTCAGTCGATCATCAGGTTCCTTTCTTGTTTAAAAGGCTTCCTGAAATTTTTCATATGAGTTCTGTTTTAAGTTTTAAGACGCCTTTTGACTGAGTAATTCCGAACTTGGTTATTCTCGGTTCATACGATATCATAGACTTGGAGAAGCTTTCATAGTTCGATATTCGCCCAAATTTGGGCAAGTTCTTCTTAGGTTTAGCTTAAATTGGTGATAGTTGCAATTGCACTTTGAATGACTTCTCATTTATGCTTCATCATCTTGTGAGATATGATGTTATTTTATTATGAGTCTAAGAACGAAGGAAATCAGCTTGAGGTTATATTATTTGCCATATTGAAAGTGAGGAGGATAGGAAATGCCACTGGAGCTGTAAAGTTACTTGACACTCTCCCTGTCGCACTGTTTCCTTCTAACACGGCGAAAGAGGAGTCATTAGTTTAACTTAATCTTACAGCTTGGTCAAATCTTTTCCTTGTTTCAAGCCATTACTCTATTTGACCTTTGCCCATAGGTTGAACATTGGAATGATCATAAAGACGAATGCAAAAGGTTTGAACAACAAATGGAAAGAGTAGATGTCTTGAATGAGTTTCCTTTCACATTTTCCGAGGAGGCGACTATACAGGTAACTATCTTCTAGTTAGGATATTGAATTACCCTATGCCTTCGGCCATAAAACTGATTTTACATGTTACTTTGAACATAATTGGTTGAATTTCTTTTTTTGTTGTTTTTGTTAAGTTGTGTCAAAAGCAGGAGAGCAGGTGTTCATTCTTGAACAAAAGGGCCATCCACAAAGTTGGAATGTGGTTCTACGAATGTCCTTGTGGGGAAAGGGAACCTGCTACATCTTTTAATTACACAAGGTCTCTCTCCGCTAGTTTTTCAATTTATTGAGAGACCTCTTACATTCACCGTTAAATCTTTCTACAATTTCTATTTCACTTGCAGATTAAATGATAGTTGGATTCTACCTAAAATTCTTTGTCCGTGTAGCGGTATTATCTCTCTTCTAGCTCTATACTGTGAAATTAATGCCCCTAGAAATAATCAAATAAACATGCAGAGACGCTATCTCCAATAACAAAACATTTACGCAGTTGGAAGGACTATTATGATTGGAGATGCATTCCCCTTCACTCTCCTGTTGCTCTGCTTCTTCATTGGGTATGTTAAACTAAGTAATTAAGTTAGTTAGCTTCATATTCAGTCAAATATCCTCATATAATCTTCTCACGGATTTTTACGAAGTCGAAACTTATGGTTCAAATATGATTTTTCATATTTGCATCTTGTTCAATCTTCTGGATCCCATTTAGTCTAAGATTCCAAGCAAGAAACTTCCTTTTGTGTTTTGGCAGTTTTCCATTCAGTAATGTGGGCTAACAGCCTTACACTAACATATGCGGGGTTTGAAATTATCTAAAAGTTCCATATGAAAAAGTTCCATATGAAATGACGTAAAATAATTGGACTAAATTATTGGCATGAACCTAAATACATTACCTGAAGAAATGCTGAATTCTTTTTAAGAATACTGATTATATAATCAACATTTACGTGTTGTCTGTCTTGTAATTCAGCCACTTACAATAAGGCATGCTATGCAAACCGCTGGTTTGGAGCCCATGACTCCAGAATTTGGTGACACATTATGCATACACTATCTAGGTATGGTTTACCTCCAAGTTTCTTTTTGATATCCAGCTTATAATTTGATGCTTTTTTCCTTTGAAGATACTAGCCATAAGAAATGACTTTGGCTATATAACCATACTGGATATCTAATTATATGCTTCTCTCATACGAACACACCGAGCGTAACATGTGACTTTGGTTATATATGTTTTTTGATTTTTTTTGCAAGACATAAAATAGTTCTTGATGTGACTGAATTAAAGAATACCAACTTTTCTGTATTGGAACTTTTAGAGCGCACCATACACTGGACACTGAAGATGCTCTAAAGACACGTTGCTTTAATGGGAAACCATTCTTAATGATAGTTTTCAGGTTCTCCATTATATAAGATATTTTAAGTGACGAAGGATGCAGATCTAATTGAACTGGGAGAACTGATGTTAATTGCCGACAATATATTGGAGAACCATTTTTTTATATTTTTATTTTTTCCCCTTAAAAAATGGTCCTCAATATTACGCTTCACTTCTCCAGATTGGACTAGGAATGCTTTCTTCAATATATCCCAATTCATCAATAGCATTGTTTTAATTAGAAAATAATGTATTCACGCAGTGGTGTGTTCCAAAGAAGATTAAGTTTTTTGGGTGGCAAGTCTTACTTGGTAAAGTCAATACTTTGGATCGGACTCAAAGGTTGTCTTCCTTTTGCCTGGGCCCGCAGTGGTGTGTTCTGTGTAGGAATGCCGCTGAAGATCTTGAGCATTTGTTGTGGACTTGTCAGTTTGCGCAGGAGTTATGGTGTCGTTTTTTTAGAGGTTTTGGTGTTGCTTGGGTTCGTTCCAGAGATTGCAAGGCGATGATGGAGGAAGTGTTGTTATTCCCCCCCTTTCATGATAGAGGCCGCTTTCTCTGGCAAGCGTGCTTTCTGGCTCCCTTATGGGGTATCTGGCTGGAGAGGAACAATAGGTTGTTTAGGGGTGTGGAGAAATATGTGGATTATGTTTGGGACCTCATTAGGTTTAATACTTCCTTATGGGTTTCGGCCACTAAGGCCTTTTGTAATTATCCGTTAGGTCTTAATTCTTTTGGATTGGAGCCCGTTCTTATAAGGGTTTCCTTTGCCGGGCTGTTTTTTTTGTTTGCCCTTTTTGTGTATCTTCTTTTTTCATTTCTCTCAATGAAAGTGCAGTTTCTCATTAAAAAAAAAAATTTAGAGAAAATAATGTATTCACGGGGTCCTTTTTTGCTGGAATTTAGAACACCCACAGAAATAGTGGAGACCAAGAATTGTAAATATATTTTTAATATTGCAGTGCCAAAATATTAGTACATATGTCTCTCCAGTGGGGATGTAGGGCATTATGGAATCTAAATAATATGAATGATTGCAGGAAGAGGCCAGTGCCCTTCTTTAACTACAGGCACAATATGTGGATTAAACAAACCAACTCTTATTGAAAGATTCTTACCCCTTCAAGTGACTGCATTAACCAACAAACAAAAGAGTAATTCTTTACACTCCTTTTACGTTTCCTGGAGGATTGCTCTGATCCTTGCTAAAATTACCATGGTCATGTCATCATTGCTGTTAGCCTTATAGCATATTTTTATGACATTTATATGCCGTATATTGGAATGAAAACATATGATAAAGTTGATATAAATGCTGTTTCTTTGTGATAAGTCCGTACTATCCTTCTAATGATTTTCATGTTTGGTTGTTCCCCCGGGTATGCCACTTAAGCTTGAGGTTTTTTCTCTTTCAACTTTTTTCATCAAGATGAGATGCTTTTGTGCACATTTTATGAATGTTTTCTGTTAGTTAAAAAAATCTTACTTTATGATGCTATTAAGTATTAAGTGATTCTCATACATATACACTAGTAATCCTGTTATATTTCATATTTAATATCATCTTTTGGGCTCAATGCATCAGGGCCTGAGAAGGAGCTTCTACAGCTTCCTGTCTTTGCTGAGTTGCTTGCACTTTTCCCTGGGGTGACATTACACATAGCATTTGTTGGGCCTAGCATTCCCGAAGAAATGTAAGTTGTTTGTCTCGAGGACAGGATGGATTCGAACATGTTACATTGCAATTCAGAAAGATTGAAGACTTGGTCTTTTCCCACATCTTTGCTGTGTCTTGGGCTATTAACTATCAATTATGGAACACTTCACGATATCTATGACTATTTATTTGTGCTTTGGGATTGCTAGGAACAGTGAAACCATTGACCTTTGCAGTTATGCTAAGTGCCTTCAGATGGATTGCATTTGCAAAGATGTCGACAGGGATGTATATTCTAATAAACGTCCAAGGTTGACATTGAAGCTTTGGAGAGGGCTTTACCATGATTGTTACAAAGACATTACCAAAGTTAGTTTCTTTCTCCGACTCCCTCCCAGAAGAAAACTAACTTTTATGTTCCATTTTTTTCTTTCACGCTCATTTTTCATCTTGCATGATTACTTGGTTATTTCTCTCTACTTTTCTCGGGACAGGATTATTATCCTCATTTAATCATTGCTCCAAATGCTGGTATTGCTGCCTATCCCAGTTGGCTACCTACCATTGTATGTCGATAATCTTGCCTAACTACCTTATGACTATGCATGCAGTAATTTTAAAATTCAAGGCTTATTCTTATGCTCGTCTTCTTTTCTACTCATCACCGACAGCATAGTTATTTGGAATTGAATGAATGCAACAGGAACTAATTAAGGAGATCAATGTTCCGGCAATATTTTCTGATTTCTGTGAAGAGGCTTGCCATCTTGGAGCTTCTTGTTTGAGCAGTGTTATAGGCCACTCCATTCCTTTCCCGGTGTGCCCACCATTGCCCCCTCTTTCAATATCAAGAACACTATCTACTTATTTTTGTTTGTTTTCACTAAATATCCTTCCCCCTTGCAGATTCAATTAAACCCATTCCGGCAACCAATAGCTATGGAAGACACCGCTCTGTTTCTTCCTTGCTACTCCAACTGCTTCCTCTACGGTTTTTGAATCTCCCAAAACCACCAGTTTTGCTCCATCTTGCAGAGGTAAATCAAGTGGTTGCTTGTTTATTAAAGTTTGTCTTCAATCGTCAATACATCTCCAAGGTCTTTGCCTATATAATTAATAATATATTAGCAGCCATGTGTTGTATTGTATGATTGACAGTTTTTTGGATTAAATTTTTTAGTCCAAGAATAGATGCTTACGGACTTGATCAATAGTCATGCCTTTAGGAATGAGTGCCATTTCTCCTTTATTTTTATTATTTTTTAATGTTGAACTAACGAACAGTATATAATATTACTATATATAGCATTTCTTTAATAATTGACCATGTCGACTTGAAGCCAACTCTTGGGCGGTTTCGAGAAATGCCCATTCTTCCTTTGGAAGTCAACGTTCATGAATATCTTTGAAGCCTATGATAATTTCTATTAAAGTCAATGAAATATGGATCCAATATTCCAAAGATTCTTTTTTTAATATATGTATATATTTTATCATGGACTTTTTTTATGCTTAAGTGATGAATTTTTTCCCTCCATGATTGGATGAATGTGAATTGAGATATGAGAGTAGTCTGGGATTAAATCCTTACCTTCTAATATTTCTTTTAATGAACTCACGTTTATTTGTTTGTTTGTTTTTTTTTTTGGGGTTAAAACAATGAACTCTCACCTTATTATTGTTATCTTAATCGACATTGAAGATGAAACTATACATTCATTTTACTTTTATTACCCTTTTCCCAACCATATGGAAAAATAAATTGTGGCTTAGCTTTATTTATGGGTCTCCATTGATGGCGCCTGTCCTATTTTCAAGCTATTGCCATTTATCTCCATTTTTGAATTGGTTGCATAAAACACCCAGAAACCAGTGCTGTATGTAAATTACAAGACTGCTCTTTTATCAGTCAATTTTTAAATTTTGTTTGGAGCTCCTTAATTTTTTCCATTCCTTCTCAGAAAATTTCAAATAATATCTGGTTTATGTGGTTTGCCGTTGGAATAAACGAAGAACCATAACACAATGAGTAAATATACTCTCTTTATATAATTAATTTGGACATCTTCGTTCACAATATATTTATTGTTAAAATCTGATTTAGTTAAAGTTGTATGGACTAAAATAAGTATTTTAAAATTTCAAGATAAAAATTTGAAGGATAAAGTCATGGAATTAAATATCTGTTTTCGACACTTTAACATATCTATCGATATTTTCATATATCATCAACATCGACATGTGGGATAAATTGATATTTCCATCCAATTATAAAATAATATGAAAAATATCAATAAAATGTCACTAATATTATTATAAATAGATAAATATTAATACTAATCGTTTTTAATTTATTTATAAATAGAGAATATTTATTTATTAATTTAAATATTTTTTACGAATTTTAATTTATATAATTTTTACAGAAATATCCCTCTAAACCTCGGGTAAAATAGATATTTGAGAAGTTTGAAAATCATATATTAAAATGGAATGTTTCCGAATATCTGTTGGGTATTGCTTCGCCTTCCGGACTCGTGAGAGTTACTCGCGCGTCCGTCCTTGACCAACCCAATCCTCAATCGGATCTTTGGATGAAGATCAATTACTCCTAAACCCGATTTCCCAAACTCAATTCTTCATGGATTTCCCCAATAAACATCATTCTTGACTGTTTCCAAATGCTCGATTATTCCTAGGGTTCGGTTCCCTTCTCTGTAACTTTAATCCCAAATTTCGCTTCGAGCTTGGTCCAGATTCCTGAAGATACCAAATCCATGTCTTTTTCTTTACGATCAATATGGGTATTGGTTCTTTGCTCTTTAGCGTTAGGTTTCGGTGCGAATTTGGGTCGGGCTCTGAAGTTGCCCTTCAGGGTCAACGATGTGCTTCCGGTTCTCCCGCGGCAGATATCGTGGCCGGTGCTCAATAATCTCCACACTGCCGTGGATTTGTTGCCAGCTTATGTTGGGTCCGTGACTCCCAGTAATGGCACAATCGAGTGGAAAGGAGCTTGCTTTTACACTAACGAAGCTCGGATTGAGTTTACTGAAGGCGATAGAGGCTTGGGAGGCGGCCTTCTCCATCTCACGGTTTGATCCTTTTGTTCTTTTACTTTTATCCTTCTGTATGTATTACCATATTATACAACGACCGCGAGTTTGCCTGTCCAATCTGCATTTTTCAATTAAAGCTTAAACTCGATGCCTAAGCCTTGGGCTCCCCTTGGATGGTTATTTTCCAAGCAACTTGGATTAGTTTGTATACCAAATTGTTATAGTTTCGACGTTTATGCAATATTTCTAGTTGCATTTAATCAAATTCTACTTTCACGGGGGTAGACGGCCTAGAGTTTTTGCTGTTTATGACTTCGTATTAGTGGTTTGTGGAAGCTTAGTATTTTTCAAAAAGCTTTTGACTGATCAGCTATAATAAGTTTAGACTTACGAGACTATAGAACCTATATTATGACTTATATGTCCTTGTTAATTTCTTCCCCCCACTTTGTAGACATCTGCAGCACACAGCTGGACTTGTATGGATCTATATGTTTTTGCAACTCCCTACAGGGTTACATGGGACTACTATTTCTCTTCACGGGAGCACACATTGAAGTTTGAGTCATGGGAAGAACCTGCGGAGTTGGAATATGTATGTTTCCATGTTCATTTTTCATTATCTAATGCTCTAAAACCTTGTCGCATATTGCTAACTGTGACAGCCGACACTTGAGCAGGTAAAGCAGCATGGGATTTCTGTTTTTCTTATGCCGTCTGGGATGTTGGGAACTCTCCTCTCTTTGGTAGATGTGTTGCCTCTGTTTTCCAATACCATATGGGGCCAAAATGCAAATTTAGCTTTTCTTAAGAAGCACATGGGTGCTAAATTTAGAAAGCGATCCCAGCCTTGGCAAGCAACCATAAATCCAGATGATGTTCATTCTGGTGATTTTTTAGCAGTGTCAAAGATACGTGGACGGTGGGGAGGCTTTGAAACATTAGAAAAGTGGGTAACGGGTGCTTTTGCTGGCCATACAGCAGTTTGCTTGAAGGATGAAATGGGTAATCTTTGGGTTGGTGAATCAGGACACGAGAATGAGAAGGTATGAAAACTTCATCTGGCAGCTTATTTAGTTCAAATGCATGTGACTATGAGAAGCAAATAAATGGCGCTTGAGCTTTTAATTCAAGGGGAAGTTTCTCATGTGTGTAATAGGGTGAAGAAATTATTGTGGTGATTCCATGGGATGAATGGTGGGAGTTATCACTCAAGGATAACTCAAATCCACAAATAGCATTGCTTCCTTTACATCCAGAAATTCGTGCAAAATTCAACTCTACTGCAGCGTGGGAATATGCCCGAAGCATGTCTGGGAAGCCATATGGTTATCACAACATGATTTTTAGTTGGATTGATACCGTAACTGACAACTTTCCTCCTCCTCTTGATGCTCACTTGGTAGGTTTTCGTTTTCTTTCCCTCCTGTAATGTTTCTGTGGTAGTGAAGCTTTTGTTTTATCATCAGTGCTCACACACTTCTGCTCATACTTTCATCAGTTCACAGTTCTATTCTTTGTAGCTTTTAGATGTGTGAAATGCATTGATTCGTGTTGCACGGGACATGGATTAGGATATTATATATGTGTGTGTCAGTTATGCATGCATGCAGCACTATGTATCTGCGTAAATATGATGTGCATACACATCTATGTAGGCATGTTTAAAAAATCCTTTCAAGTAAGCTTCTTGCTGACAACTTCTCGTTTTCAGGTTATTTCTGTCATGTCTATGTGGACTAGGTTGCAGCCAGCATATGCTGCAAACATGTGGAATGAGGCTCTGAACAAGCGGCTAGGTACTGAGGTATGTCAGCAATCTTGACCCATTTTATGTTGATAAATAGAGATATGGAGAAAATTTTCAGCACAAAGAATTTTAAGGTTAGAAGAACTTAATAGGAAAAAAAGGAACCTTTTTACCCCCAAAAAGACTACTATTCAAGTGGAAATGAAACAACTCTCCTAGTACTATTCAAACCTTTGATAAGATAGTTAATCGTCAACTGCAACTGCCCCACTACTGGCTGTTGAGAATAAGGAAAAATAATTAAATTCCTGTTCACAACCCAGGACCAATATGAGAATCCCAGAACTTCTCCCGGGTGACTCCATTCCATGCCTTATTTTGTGGAGAGCCTGAAAGTAGCAGCTCTATTTCATTGGATTCAATCCATAATTATGGACTACTCATAGATGAACCGAGGGAATGGGGAAATCTTCACGGATCTGTGGGACCCACCTGATTGTAGTTGGAAATCCCTGATTTAGATAGGCTTGGTGACCGGGACAGAAGTAAAAACTTTGTGATTTAGTTTCGGGGATGAGAAATTCATTGCGCACCATGAGCCTGATCCCACCCCTATCCCCAAATTAAGCATTAAATATTTTAAAGATTAACCATTTAAACTAATATGAAATAAATCATCTTGAATGCTACTCTTGTATTCAAATTGCAAATTACTGAAACTGGTCGACTTCAATGCATCTGCAAATATACCTCCTTTATCGCATTTTGGGTACAAGCATGGAAGATTTTACAGATAGATCAGGGCATGACAGGTCATATGTCCGTTTCAAAGTTTGAGAACTTCTTTGTTAACAGTTGAGGGACAAATGTTCAAAAGATTCCATTAGCATGTTCTTTATGAAAACTTCTCATTCATATATGATTACTTAGATTACTAACTTCCTCTGTTTCATTAAGGATTTGGACTTGCACGATATCCTAGTCGAGACTGAAAAGCGAGGAATTCCTTTTGATCTACTGCTTACGATTCCGGAACAAGATGAATGGGTCTACAGTGATGGGAAATCAACGACATGCGTTGCCTTTATCCTTGCAATGTATAAGGAGGCTGGAATATTTGGTCCTATAACCAGCACCATTCAAGTAACAGAGTTCACTGTATGTCTCAAAATTCTTGAACATGTATCAACTCATGATCTTGACTTGCCTTTTCCTATACTGTTTTATCTGAACATTAAATTCTGTTGTTTTGCAGATTCGGGATGCATATATGCTGAGGATTTTCGAGGACAACCAAACGCGCCTCCCAAGTTGGTGCAACAATGAAAGTGATAAGCTTCCGTTTTGCCAGATTCTCGGTGAGTACAAAATGGAACTTCCTCAGTACAATTCCTTAAAACCTTATGCCAATATGAATGAAAATTGCCCCACCCTACCCCCTATATATGAACGACCCATTCAATGTTAAGCCCGCCTTTGCTCATTCTCTACAATGATTATGTAAACCATGTAAACATGGCATCGAAGTCTGAGATCATTCGTTAAAACATCCGATAAAAAGTGTTTGAAA